TCTCTAGATTGCCACTGGAAAAGGTTACACAGCTGTGTCAACTGCTTTCACTATGGAGTTATGCCATTCAAATTTAAATTTCACTTGGACTCTTGCAACTTTAGGGCAACTTTGATTTCTCTCTGATTGGCTGTCAGTTTCCACAGTTACTATTCCAAACCTTCTTTCCCTTCCCAAGCCTCTTTCCTTGTCTCTTGCTCTCAGCAGAAGACCTCTTTTTCTCCATGGAGAAAACAGAAGCTCTCTGTTGACCAACTCCCTTTTCTCCCCTGCACTACACTTCAAAACTCCTCCATCCATCAGCTCCCATTCCCCTTCCCTTGCAGGAGTCCCCTCTGTCCCAAATGGCACAAGAAGTGACCCTTCTCCTTGCCCAGGCCAACCCGATTCCTTGTTCTCCATTTTCCTTCTGAGTGCTTGTCTTATTGATCTAGCCCTCTCTTCTCTTCTTCAGTCACTCCTTATTCACTGGTTTCTTACTCTTTTCCTACGAACTTGGCCAGATCTCCCAATCTTTAAACCTTAACTTGTCCTTGCTCTCCCCTCAGACTATCATCCTAAATCTCTCCTCCCTTTTATAGCCAAAATTCTGAGAAGAATCATGCTCCTTGCTTCTATTTCCTCACCTCCCACTCAATTCACAACCCTTTGCAATTTGACTTCCAACAACCACTGAATGTAAAGAGCCAGCTCCAAGGTTAGCAATGATCTGTTAACTGCTAAATCCAATTGCCTTTTCTCAGTCCTCCTCCTAATGGACCTCTCCGAAACTTTTGAACCTTTCGATCGCACCTTATTCAATGATGCACAATATAATTCTCCAGGCACTGTGCTGAGCAGAGGGGGTACAAATACTAGCAGAAAGAAAAAGAGTCCCTGCCCTCAAGGAGCTTACATTCTGTTGGGGGAGAAAGCATGCATGCATAGCTATCTATAAGATGGGTACAAAGTAGATACTAGATGAGGCACTAGCAATACTGGTAGTGTTTCAGCTGAGTCTTTAAGGAAGCCAGAAATTCTAAGGAATTGGTTCTCTTCCTGTGTGTTAGCTCCTCAGTCTCTTTTGTTTGATCGTTATCTCTCACCCTACCTTGTCCCCTGAGGCTCTGGATTCCCAAGTCTATACATTTCAGCTTTAATCTCGGTCCAGAACTGCAGTCCTGTATTATGTCCTGTAAGCATCACTAACTCAACATCTTTCCTCCAAAAACCTTTCCATTTCTATCATAGGAAGCCCCAGTTCCTTCCATTCACCAAGATTCACAGCCTTGGCACATACTTGCCTCTTGTCTCTTCTTACTTGCCAGGTACAAGCAGTTATCAGGTCTTGGTTAATACTTCCACAATATCTCTTGCATAATAATAATAACAACAATAGCATTTATATAGCACTTCAAGATTTGTGAAGCACTTTACAAATACTATCTCAAACTCACAACAACCCTGAAAGGTAGGTGCTATTATTATTCCCACTTTACAGATGGGTAAATTGAGGTCAAGACAGAGGTCAAGTGACTTGCCCAGGATCACACCTAGTAAGTGTCTGAGACCAGATTTGAACCTATCCTGAATCCAGACGCAGCACTCTGTCTACTATGTTAACTAGCCACACATCCCCTTTCTCTACACTCATAGAGCTTTTACCCTAATTTAGGCTCCCATCACCACTTGCCTGGACTACTTTAATATCCTGCTAATTAGTCTTCCAGCTTTTAGTCTCTTACCATCTTCACCTCCATCCTCTATGTAGATGGCAATTTGATATTCCTAAAACACAGAGCTGATCATGTTATTCCCCTACCAAAAAATCTCCAGTGGCTTCTCATCTTACCTCTTCGATAAAGCTTGGCTTGAAATCTCTCCACTTTAAATCCCACCTGCCTTTCTAGTCTTATTTCATATTATTCCCCTTCATGCCCTCCATCTTCCAGGTGAGCTGGCCTATTCACACTTCATATGTGACATTTCCGTTTCCCTGGCTCTACACAGCTCGTCTCCCATGCCTGGAAGACCCTCCCTCGCCATTTCTATCTTGCAGCCTGTCAGATTTCCTTCAGAATCTTTCCTGGTTTCCCCCAGCTCTCAGGCCTCTCTTCCTCCTTAAATCACTTTGTGTAGATTCTGTATTTATCAGCGTATGTGTTATAGCTGCCCTGCATCAAGAGATTGGAAGCTCTTGAAGGACAGGCTCCATTTTTTGTTGTTAGCTCTGTATCCCCAGTGCCTAGCATAATGCCTGGCACTGAGTTGCCACTTCATAAATTCATGCTGAATTGTGTCTGGAACCCTGCTCATGTATCTTGGTGGGCTCCCAAAGCACAGGGCTGACTTTGGCACCTCTCCCTCCACTCAGTAAACTCTAAGTGTACATCCAGAATCAAAAAGAAATCCTTTGTTTGCATTTAAAGGTCTTTACTACCCTGGCCTTTCAGACTTTCCCAGTCTTCTTATATTTTAATATCTTCCACACACTCTATGATCCAGCCACATGGGCCTACCTGTATAAGGCCCTCTGTTTCCCAGCTCTCTCCCTTTGCACTGGCTGTTCCCCTTGCCTGGGAAGCTCTCCCTCCTCATCTCTGCCTTTTAGAGTCGCTAGCTTCCTTCAGAACTCAGTTTATCCACCACTGTTTGGCTTTTGCCAGTCTCCCCAACTGTTAGAGACTCCCCTCTAAGGTTACCTTCCATCTTTTTTTGTTTATATCTAGTTATTTACCTATTGTTGACCCTTTAGGCTATAAGCTCCTTGAGGGCAGAGGCTGGTTTTTTTAAATTTATGGAATGTTTTATTCCATAAATAAGCATTTCCACAACATTATATGATAAAAAAGATGATTATACATGAAACTACAAACCTTCTATGCACAACTTGCTATTCCATTCAAATATACTCCAAAATTTTCATGTAAATTTCCTTTTTTTCCCCCCCCCGCCCCCCCCCCCCCCAGCAGAGACTGTTTTTGCCTTCCTTTGCCTCCCTAGTGCTTAACACAGTGACTGGCACAAAGTAATCACTTAACATATATATATATATATATATATATATATATATTTGTCTATTGATTATTGACTGATTGATAATGCTGGGAAATCGAGGAAATGTAACTGGTTCAGTCAGAGCTCCTGTTACCTCAAAAAATCAAAATAATTCAATCTAACATGGGCCATTCTGCCTCTCCCCCTCCCAGTTTATAAAAAAAAGCCTTCTCCTTGAAGTAATAGCCTTCTCCCCATTTTTCAGGTGAAGGAACTGAGGTCCCAAGAGGTTCAAAGCCTTGCTCAAGGCTACACAAGTGACCTAGCCATGGAGCCTTCCTCTGCCTCCAAAGCAAGTATGCTTTCCTTAGCACCATTGTGGTCCCCAGGCCTCTGAAGCCACAGCCTCCCCCTCCTGACCATTCCTCTCAGACTCAGACTTAAGTGGCTCTCATCTGATTTTTACCTGCCTGGACAGCTCAAGAAGAGAGGGGAAGGGAAGCCTGTCTTCCTACCACCCTACACCCAACATGCACCTTTATAAGTTCCTGTAGATGCAGGAGGGAGAAGCTGCTCTTTGTACCTGGTCTGAGTCATTACCCCCATTTACCCCCTCAGCTCAGATCTGGCAATCTAGGCTGCAGAGCCCTGCACTGGCACTAATGAGGAGGCCAGATCAATATGGCACTGTCCCCGCCTTCAAGGAGCTAACAGTCTTGAGGCCCAATAAGATATTAATACAAGTAACTATAATATAATATTAATAATTAGTCATAATATTATAACACAGAATGTAAAAAGGGACATGGGAGGTACGGCTAGACAGGTGTTTATGGACAAAGATGCTCCAGGAGAAAGGCCATGGGAATCTCACTATAGATTCGAGTACCCAATGATCTATTTATCATCTTTGTGACCTTAGACAAGTCAATTCCCCCATCTGATCCCAATGTCCTTATGTGTAAAATGAGAACAGTGATATACCACTTACCTCAGAGGGCTGTTGAGGAAAAAGCTTTGTAAATGTTCAAGTGTCATGTAAATGTGGAATAATGAGGTATCATGGGGTTCAGAGGAACACGACATAGGTGTGGGATGGGAGAAGGAACCAAAGAACTCTCTGATATGTCCTTTCCCCTTCACTCCGTGCCTCTGCACTTCCAACCTCTGAGAAGCCTTAGCTTCCTTCAAGGCTCAGCTCATGGACCATCTCCTACAGGGAGTCTTCCCTGATTCCCCTAGTTGGTGACTTCTCCCTCCTCAAATCACATACATTCTTAGCTGCTGCCGAGTAGCCTTCCCCTCCCTGCAGTGTAAGCCGCTTGAGAACAAGCGCTGTCTCCTTTTTATCTCTATATCCCAGCACTGAGCCCAAGGTCTTTCACATCCCAAATGTTCTATAAATTTGATGAGTGCTTATTGGAATCAATTAGATTGGCTTTTAGGAGAGGAGGGGGTGGTGGTGGCAGGGAGAGGGCTGAGGAGTCTCCTACCAACGGCCCCTTCTAGAGGTTGGGAGAGGCACATTGAGTTGTTATCCTGTCCAGGCCAACTGAATTAGAATATACTGGATCCTCAGCAGCCTGGATTCAGTTCAGTCCATCCCTGAATCAGGATCCCCTCTGTGACATGTAAGACAAGTGGTGTCCAGGCTTTGAATGAAAACCTCTTCTGGGGGAGCACCCAATGCCTCCCAAACCAGCCCCTTTATAAGATCATGGAGACCATCTAGTCCACATCCCTTAGTCTGCTGAGGCCCAGAGAGGTTGAGTTACTCCAGTGTTGCTCAGCTAGCAAGTGGCAGAATCAGGATTTGAATCTGGGTCTTTTCACTCCAAATCCAGTATACCTTCCACTCTACTCATTTTGGGCAGCTCTTTGGACTGTGTAGACCTTGAATTTTCAATGCTCTCCTGGACCAGCCACAGGAAAAATGAGCAACAAAGGTGGCCCCCGAAGAAGGAAGAGACCCAGGGAATCCTAACCCAATCCCTAACTCCCTAACCCAGTAACATTCTGCCCCATGCTGCTCAGAAAGGATCTTTATTTCAATCCACAATTTTATGGTGCAAAGTTCTGTGCTGGGGACCCCATCAGTCACAGCTTATCATGCCCAGTCCTGCCCCTCCTTCCCTCCTTGAGGCCAAGAGGATAGGGACAGAAGTGGACAGAGCCCAGGGGACTGAGGGGGGAAGGTGGACTGGCAGAGGAGAAAGAAAATGCTGGCAGACCAAGTCTGCATCTTGGTTTCCATACTTTGCAAGTTGCCTCTGTCCACGTCAGTGCCCACGTAGAAGCCCAGACTGGCCCTGGACAGGGTCAAGTAGCATCTCCATTAGTGCAAGGTATCTTCGGGGGCTGAATCTGCATCCTAGGAGTTTTTTGCTGATCCTGCATCCAATGTACCAGTTGAGCATGTGACCTCTCGAGGTCAGCCAGGCGGTGCTCCTGGGGTCAGAAAGGTAGGAAGGGGCAATAAGAGAAGAGAAAAGGTGGCAGCAGCAGCATAAAAGGTTCAAGACCAGCTTCCCAGGCCTCCAAAAGGCCTGCCCTTTTTTCTGTTTCTCTCCCCACTCTGATTTTGTTAAGGCCCATTGTATAGACTTCTCCAAGAGTCCCTGAATGTCAGAACTGGAAGAGATCTTTTGAAGATGAGAAATTGAGACCCAGAGGAGCAGAATGATCAAGTTTACCCAGCTAGTAAATGCAGAACTAATATTCAAACCCAGATCCAGTCCAGGCCTCTCTCTGCTCCCCTGAGCTGCCTTTCCTCTGCTCTGATCACATCCTGCCTGGTATTATACTAATTTGTATACTTGCATCATGCCTCCAGTAAGATTGTGAGATCTTGGAGGGATGAAACTTTGTCTGCATTCCCACTTCCCACCATCCTCACCATCCTCCTCCGGACTAATGCAGTGCCTTAATAAATGTTTGCCGAATGGAACAGAATTCTTACCAAATTTTCCAGCCTGGCATTCTCACTGCTTCTGCTCTGGAGGCCTGGGCTGTGCCTAGGATCCGGCTTCTGAGCCCTGCTCCAAGAGACAATCCTTTTAGACCCTCAAACCTCCCCAATCTCTAGGAGGAGGAGTTGGGTGACTAGGAGAGGGAGAAAGCTGGTCAGGGCTTTCTCTTACCTCAGGCTGTCAAATGGGAAGACCATGCAAGAGAAGGTGCTGTCCATTATCCAGGAGCTAGGATGGCAATAGGAAGGGCAGAGACTGGGCAGATGGGGGTGGGGGTAGAACCAGGAAGAATGCTTACCTGGTCCTGAATTGGCCTTGAATCTGTTCCAGTTGGCCAAGTAGCTTCTTCTGTTGTTCCCCAAGGGCCTGGGTCTCACTGGCTAGGGCTTCCAGCTGTGCAGCTAACACTTTCTGCTGGTCACACAGGGAGACTATCTCCTGCCGAAGCTCTGCCAGCTGTCCCTGGCAGAGAGGAGAAGAATGTTTAATAGGAAGAGAGCCCAGAGAGTGGGATAGGAGGGGTCTGGCCTCTAGACTCCTCCCCTTGTCCGGTGTTTGTAGGTCACAAGCTGAGTTGATACCTTCCCAGGGAGTCGGTGGGTGCAAATGCTATGTTCCACTTCATGTGGTTTCTCCAGGAAGCGCTGCCAGGGTACAGAGGACTTCCTAGGCAGGGAAGCAGAGACTCCAAGCCTAGAGCGGCCCTGGGGCGGGGAACTTCTTTGAAGGGAGTCCTTGGGCCTGGTCCGGGACAAAGGCCCAGAGGTATGGGGACTGGCAGTCCGGGAGACAGGGACACTCTGGGTACGTTGGATACGGCGACGTAGTCTTTTTGCAGGATGTTCCTCACCCTGGCCTTGGCCCTGTATGCTTCTGAGGGACTGGCTCTTGGAGATGAGAGGGGTATGCTTGGACAGGTCCCTGGGGGCCAGGAAGCCTGGCTTCTCTGAGAAGCTGCAATATGTCCCAATAGAAAGTTCTCGACCTCTGATCCAGATGGCAACCCAAACCCTAACCCTGACCCATGATTCCAACCTAAACTCAAGCTTGACCTTCACCCTAAATCCAGCCCCTAATTCAATCCTTACCATCACCCTCATGCCAATCCAAATCTTGATTCCAATCTGGACTCAGAAACCAAATCCTGATTCTAATCACAACCCAAACCCTGACCCTAAACCCAATTCCTTACCCTGCTCCTAATTCCAATCTTGATCTTGACCCCTATTCCATTCATAAACCAAACTTCCCTCCCAAATTTCCTATCCAGCAGACCCTCCATGATTGCTGTCCCCAGGCCTGGTTACCTTGCATGGACCTGGGCCCTAATGTTGGTAGCATGAGGGCGCATGCTAACAGACACAGGTACGGGGCGGCCTTCCTCAATGGCTTGAAGTATGGTGGGCAGTGGTTCCAGGCTCTCCTGTGTTGGCTACCAGGGAGATCACTATTAGGGGGTCCTGGCCAACTTTCTTAGCCTCCCCTAACACTGGTCCCCTGGTCATTTCAGGAAGTCCCAGACTAGACTTTAGGCTAGCTTCAGCTCTGAGCTCTAGATTCTAGACTAGACTGGACTCTAAACTCCAGTCCCAAGAGTCTGAGTTTGGGGTACTAGGCTCTAGACTGGATTAGGTTAATCTGTGGGTCAGAGATCAGAGAGACTGTGAGAGGAGGCCAAGAGAAAGAATGGGGCTGAGTGGTCAGGTAGGAGAGCCAGAGGCAGGGTGTGTGTACCTGGTCCAGATCGGAGAAGATGGTGCGGAGCTGAACATGCAGGATGGCCAGGCCTCTGGCCAGGTCTCCACTGCCTTGGTAGCCCCTAGGGGCCCTGTCCCCATCCCCACAGGCCACTTGGACCAGGAAGCACTGCATGGCTGAGCTGTGTTGCTCCAAGAAATCATTCATGAAGCTCATGTAACTTTCCTTTTCCCCAAACCTGGAGGTAGCAAGAGATAGTTCCCGGACAGGAGTCAGGGAAAGGCCTGTCTCCTTCACCCATACCTGGCCCCGACCCCAGTCTTGTCCTTCTTCCCCAAACCAGTTCTCAAGCTTTACTGGCCTACTTTGCAGTTCTTGAGCATGATACTCCTTCCTCCATCTCCGTGCCTTTGCCCTGGCTGTCCTCCATGGAATGCCCTCCTTTCTCCTCCCTTCTACCTCTTGGTTTTTCCTTGCAGCAGACCTTTCCCATTCCCTCCCCCACCCTAGCCTCTATTGGCTTCCCCTCTCAGATTGTCTTCATCTACTCTCTATATGTCTTGCATGTTATCTCATTATTTACACGCTGACTCCCCCATTAGAATGTTAGCTTCTTTAGGGCAGGGACTTTTTTTTGGCCTTTATTTGTACCCCTGGCACTTAGCACAATGCCTAGCACATAGCGATTGCCTAATAAAAACTTTTTGACTAACTGACTGTTGACTTACGGAGCTCGGTTGGCAAGGTTCTGAATGACCTTGGCAACAAGGGTAAGGGTTCGAGCCAGGCCGGGGCCTGGGTACTCATGGGCAAGGCCAAAGAGGCTCGGGGACATGATGGCTGGACACAGGAATCTCAGAAAGAGTGAAGCACAAACCAGCCTCTCCCCCAGGGGCTCAGCTCTCCGCTCCTGGCATGCTGCCCACCAGCTGGAGAACACAGCGCTCAGCTCAGCCGGGAACCAGCTGTGGGGTCAATAGGGATGACAGGTCAGGAGGTGAGAGTGCGCTGTGTCCAGAAAGGGAGTTAGGGTCTAGAGGGATGCATGATGAATCTGAACAGTAAAGGGAACCATGTGGAAGGGAAGTAGGGGCTAGGAGAAGGGTAAGAGGCAGAAAGACCTGGAAGAGGTCAAGGCACAAGGAGATCAGATATCAGAGATCAGGGTCACTGCATGAGAGAATACAAGGGCAAACTCTGGTTGAGGAAATATCCAGATTGGCCACAAATGTGCTGAGAGTGAGGAGCCATGGGAAGAAGCCTGACCACCCCTCCTCCCTGGGGGACAAGTGGCAGATGTTAGGAGCTGGGCTCACTCAGAGGAACGGGTGATGCTGAGGAAGACATCCTCACAGCTTTGCCTCAGGGTGGCCTGGTGCTGGGCCAGGACTGGCCCAGGGCATTTGCTAGGGTCTACTTCACAGCCATCTTCAGAGGCACAGAGACGTCCCACAGCTCCTCCTGTAGCACAGACATGGGGTGGAGAGGACAGGCGGAGAGTCCAGACTCAGCACCTTTCTTGCCCTTCCCTTCCTTCCCTGTGGATCCCACCCCTCCAAGGCACCTCCCTCCTCCCCAGTGTCCCCTGGAAGCTGCTCCACAGCCCTTGGTCTCCCTTCCAACACCTTACCCAGTGTCTCATGCAGGTAGCTCTGGCCCACCAGCTTCATGTACTCATCAATGGCCTTTGTGGCCAGTGTGTTTTCTCGGAACAGCAACGCTTCTCTCCCTCCACAGTGGGCCAGCTCCTCCAGGCCCAGATCTGTCACTAGTGCCTGTAGCCAGGAATGTGGGCTGTGACCTCAGAACACACCTAGGGACATCCCTATCTCCCAGCACAGTGGTTACACCCTGGGTACTTTGGGCTCTACCAGGCCATCCTTAGAAATCCTGGGCCTTTCATCCCTACCCTACCCTGCCTACCAGCCCCAGGACTGTGAACTGGCTGACATTCCATTTCCCATCTCTCTCCCCAACCCCATGCCTGGAATGTCCTCCCTTCTAATTTTCACCTTATAGAATCCCTAATTTTCTTCAGATACTACCAAATACATTAAGGCCTTTCCTGATCCTCCCAGGGCTAAGTTCCTCTCCCACAAATTGTTCTGTATTTATTTTGTGTTTGTCTCTCCTTTTAGAATGGAAGTTCCTTCTGGGCAGGAAATGCGTCATTTTTGCCTTTGTACTTCCAGAGACTATCCCCTCAAGCACAGTAGGAACTCAACAATAACTTGCTTGATTCCTTAAGGTTTCTTCTAGCTGTGACAGTTTATGTCAATCAATTTACAAGCATTTATTGAGTTGCTGCTTTGTACCAGGTATTGGGCTAGGTGCTGGATATACAATGACACAAGTCTAACAGTCCCTGCCTTACAATCTATCTAGAGGAAACAACATGTACATATGCAGCCATGCAGAATATTGAAGGGAAGGCATCAGCAACTAGGGGTACCAGGAAAGGTTCATGCATAGGCTGGTCCTCAGATTAAGCCTTGAAGGAAGGTAGGGATTCTAAGAGGCAGAAATGAGGAGGATGAGTATTCCCAGAATGGAGCAGAGTAAGTGGAAAGGAGATGAAGTGCCATGTGTGAGGAATAGGAAGAAGGCCAGTTTGGCTATGGTGTGCATGAAAGGGAGTAATGTGCAATCAGGCTGGTAAAGTAAAGTGGTACCAGGGTGCAGAAGACTTTAAAAGCCAAATCGACACTTTCATGTTTAATTCTAAAGGCAATAGAGAGTGCTTAAGTTTATTGAATAAGAGAGTGACATGGTCAAACATGTGCTTTAGGAAAATCACGTTAGCAGTCATGTGGAGTGTGGATTGTAGTGAGGAGAGACCTGAAGCAGGAAGACCAATTAGGAAAATATAGCAGCAGTCGGGGCTTAAGGTGATTAAGACCTTAACTAATGTGACATCAATGTGACTAGAGGAAAGGGATAAAAGTGAGGGATATTGTGGGGATAGGACCAACAAAATTTGGTAACTGACTGGTTGTGTAGGGTGAATAAGGAGTAAGGATGGCCTTGAGATCTTGAAATTGAGTGATCAGAAGGATGGTGGTGTCTGCTTTTGGTAATGATAGGAAGTTTTGGAAGAGGGATGGGTTTTAGGGGTGAGATAATGGATTCTGTTTCAGATGTGTTGAGTTTGAGAGGTCTATAGGATATCCACTTTGAATGTCTAATAGGCATTACATCCTGTAAGACTAGGAGAGAGTCTAGGATTGGATAGATAGATCTGACACTGATGAGCATAGACATGGTAATTAAACCTACGGAAGTTGATGAGGTCCCCAAAGAGAGACAGTGTTGGGAGAGAACAGATGAGGGCTTGGACTGAGCCTTAGGGTGTACTCCTAGTTAAGGGATGGGATATGGATGATGAACCAGCAAAGGATACTGACCAGGGAACAGTCTGACAGGTAGGCAGTGAACCAAGGAGAGAGCAGTTTCACAAAAAACCCAGAGGGAAGACAGAATCTAGGAGAAGAGGATGGGTAACAGCATGAAATGACACAGAGATGTCAAGAAGGATGAGAATTGAAAAAAGGCTATCAGATTTGGCAGTTAAGAGATCACTGGTAACTTTGGAGAGAGTAGGTTCTGTTAGATGAAATTCGAACCAGAATGCAAAGGTCTGAGAAGGGTGAGAGGAGAGAAAAGTGTAGGCAATGGGTGTAGTAGGTTTGTTTTTCTTTTTTTAGGAATTTGACTGAGAAAGGAAAGAGAAATATAGTATGGTAGCTTCAGGGATGGATAGGGTCAAGAGAGGGATTTTTAAGAATGGGAGAGACTTGGACATGTTTGCAGGCAGTAGGGAAGGACCTTGGAGATGGGGAAAGTTTGAAGATAAGGGAGAGCAGATGATTTTGGGGGTAATTTGCTGAAGAAGACAGGAAGGGGATGGATTAAAGATACATGTAGAGGAGGTGTAGCAAGAAGAAGGGCCATTAACAGATGGCCAGTCAAAGACTGGAGTAAAGGAAGACAAATTGGGGGAATACATCAAGAATCTGTGAGATGTGGAAAAGAGAGAGCTCATGTAGTAAAGTATGAGAAGAGGTCCTCATCAGTGTAGTAGGCGAAGGTGTAGAAAAGATAAGGAGCCTTCTAGCTCTAATCCTCTGTGACCAATATAACAAAACTGAATTAAAATTTGCAACTATCACTGTGTCACAGTTGGGGAAACTGAGGCTCAGGGAGGTTAAGTGACTTGTCCAGGGTCACAAAACTAGCATGTATCTGAGGCTGGATTTGAATCCAGATCTTCCTGACTCTAGCTCAGGTGCTATAGCCACTATTCTACATCTGGATACAACATCCGAATCAAACCAATTCACCAACACCTGTCCTACGTCCCTTTGCCTGGCTTGCCAATAGTTTGTGTTTTATCTGTAGTAGAGTATATATTATTGCCTTTTGGAGGGTTGAACTGACTCACTATGGAGAAGGGGAAAGAAGAGAGATAGGAACAGAACTGACTAGGGTGGGGTAATAGAACTTTGTCTAAGTGGTTGAGTTTACACAGCCACTGTCACTACTTTCAGGCCTACAGTAATATAGAAACAACTGAGCTCAGCATCTGGTTAGCAAGAATAATTAGTTAAAATAAGAAGCTTCCAGATGGACAGGGTCAGCTCCTCTGGACCAGTCCTCTCCCCAGCCAGCTTCACCCATCAGTGCCCTCTCTCCTACCTGGGCTTTTCCTGTGCCATGCAGCACACGGACCATGGTGGCTGCCAACTCTTCCTTGGCCTGGGCAGGCAGCTGGGGCTCCAGGGCATGGCACAGCTCTGGGTAGTGAAAGGTGAGGAACTCCGCCAATTCCTTGTAGCGCTCAGTGGGTAGTATCTGCAGACAGCGTGCCCGAACCCGTGCCCTCAAGGCTGCCCCTGAAGGTCCACCTTCCAGAGGAAACCATCGCTCAAGACCCCCTCCCATTGGTCCCAGATCAGTTAGTGCCAGTGACACATTGCCCAGGTCTCGGTCGGCCTGGCGCAATCGAAGGGAAAGATGGCGGGCAGGGGGCAGTGCTTCAAAGTGGAAGCGCTCTGCCCAGAAGTGAGGCCCAGGCCGAGCAGCAGTACGGGCCAACAAGGCCCCATCCAGCCACAGCTCCACCCGAAGGCCTGGAGAGCTACCCTGTGGGAGTCCCTTGGCCTCATGAACCCATACACTCAACCATGTCTCTTCCCTTTCTTGGCTTTCCTGGAGAGAGAAGAGAGAGGACAGTTTTGAGCTAGGCAGAGGGAAAAGAGAATAGTTTTCTGCTTCAACTTGGAATGGAGATCTAGGAACAAAGGCAGTAAGGGGCAGGGAGCAGAGTTACTGGGAGGCAAATTTCAGGAACAACTTCCTACAGTGAGAGTTGGTCATCAATAATGGTATGAACTGCTTCCATAGGTGGTGAGCTCCCCATTACTGGAGGTGTTCAAGTAGACGTTAGGTGACCAACTCAGGACATATTTTAAAAGGCAATCCTGCATTGAGTCCAGTGTTGTTCTCGGTGCCCACCAAGGCCTGGATACATCTACTATTTCCACAGCTCATTTATTAGATAAGTTGTCTGTAACAAGAACATTCTGTGTTCTAAAGACCCTCCCAGCTTTGACAATTTGTTCTAAAAGTCCTCCTGGCTCTGACAATCTGTGTACCAAGGACTTTCCCAGCTCGGACACCATGTGTTCTAAGGGTCCTCCCAAACCTGACCTTCTGTGTTCTGAGGTTTCTCCCAGCTCTGACATTCTATGCTTTAAGTCTCCTTCCAGCTCTAACATTCTGGGTGCTAAGGCCCCTCCTAGCTCTGACACCTTCTGCTCCAAGGGCCCTCTTGCACTGAGTATATTCTAAGGGCCCTCCCAGCTCTGTCACTGTGTGTTCTGTTGTCCCGCCAAGCATTCTGAGGTTCTGATTTCTCTTTCTGATTCAAAACCTCAGCACTTAAGACAGTATTTTTTCCTGACAGGCTGGCTCCCTAGTTCTGCACTCAATTTGGGCTTGGGTTGGCTATCCAAGTCAGAGCTGAGGCCAGGTGGGGGTCCCAAGTGCTGACCTGCTGGGGCTGCAGGCTCTGGCGCAGATCTTCAATCCATCGATCCCTCTCAGCTGCTGAGCCACAGGAGAAACAGCGACTCCCACTGGGCCAGGTTACCTGAGAGGAGGGAAGGGAGCCCCTTTAGAAGGGAAATGGAAACCAGGGAAAGTAGAGATATAAGGGGTGGGCATACAAGACTTAAAGGAAGGATAATCTTTGGGTGGAGGGTGGGACAGGGCATGCAGATGGCCCCCTCTCCTCTCATACCTGAAAGCAGTAGGGCTCCCCAAGGAGGCTGGGGTGCAGGGGCCACACTTGCACATTTTGCTCACTGCTCAGATCCAGCTCTTTGATGGGTCCTTCATTTACGAGGGACTCTTGGGAGCCCCGGGCACTCGGGCACCTGGTGGAGGAGTGGGATCTGAGGTTGAAGGGGCCAATACTCCCACACCCTTCCTGGGCCTCTCCAGTTATCCTCAGCACAGATGCCTCCCATTAAGAGAACCCTCCAGATTTATTATAATAATAACAACTATTGTTATTATAGTTGTAGCTCATATTTATATAGCTCTTTAAGATTTACAAAGTACTATTCCACATACTGGGCAGGTAGGTGGCATAGTGGATAAATTTCTTGGTCTGGAGTCAGGAAGATCTGAGTTCAAATCCAGCCTCAGACTGGGCAAGTCACTCAACCCTGTTTGCCTTAGTTTCCTTGTCTGTAAAATGAGCTGGAGAAGGACATAGCAAACCACTCCAGTGTCTTTGCCAAGAAAATCCCAAATGAACTCAAGAAGAGTCAGACACAATTGGGCAACAACTTCACATATATTATCAGATCCTCACAACAACCCCATTTTATAGGTGGGGACATTGAAGCTCACATAGGTAAAGTGATTTGTCTAGGATCACACAGCTAGCAAGCGTCTGAGGCAGGAGACTATATCCAAGTTCTAATCCATCAAGTAGCTGCCCTACAGCCCTATGTTTGCCTGACTTGTCTATGTCTGTGCTCTGCCTTTGGAATCCTAGTGCCCCAGTGTCTGGAATATCAGAAACGCTGAATAATTGTTCATTGATTGACTGATGGACTCTGCTTGTAGTATAGCAATTACTGCCCTTGGGAGGGTTGGACTGACTCAGAAGGGAGGGGCAGGACAGAGTTGTGGCTAGGCTGGGGCATGGGGACTTTACCAGGGCAATTGAATTTTGAGAAGCACTAACACCACTTTCAGGCCTACAGCAGTTTACAAACAACTGAGTTTAACATCTTGGTAGCAAGAAGGAGTGGTTGAACTAGGAAGCCGCCAGATGGGCTGGGTCAGCAGCTCCAGGACCAGCCTTCCCCACCCACCTCCAGCTCCACCTCCATATGCAAAGTAGCAGCCTCTTTAGCTTTTGGTACTCTGGGGTGTCTGTCACTCCTTCCTCCACCTCAACTGAATGGAGGGTGTATTTTATGCTATTTGCCCAGGTACAAAAATTTCTACTCTTGGCTCTGGGGTTGGAACACAGGTTCTCATATGCCCAAGGATACAAAAGAACCTGGGTGTGTCTATGTATATTTATGTTGTGAAATCGTCAGCAGTTAGCCAGCTCTACTGCCCTACCTTGTGCAACCTCAGCGATCTGGGATTGTGGGCACACATGCTTAATATGCTCTGGGGGTGGTATCCCTTCCCTTTCTTTCCCACCTAACTTCACCAGAGTCATATCTCATATTTCTGTGGGTGAATGTTAACTATGTGAGGCGAATTGTGTAAGCATTATTGTTCCCATTTTACAGATAAGGAAACTGAGGCTTAAACAAGTGAAGTGCCTTGCTCAGAGTCACAGCTCTAAAGGTTAAACTTGAAAGGCAGATCTACTGACTTCAAATCCAAGGCTCTTTGCTTTCCACTGCTCCATGAAGTCCTTACCCTGTCCCAGTGCTTCCAGCTTTCCCCTTCTTCTTCTCCTTGAGCCTCTTCCATAGCAAACCCTGGGAATTATAGGGTGATAGGGAGAAGAGGTCAGGGGTTGGGCTGTAGGACCCCCCAGGGTCTCCAGCTACCCATCCCTGCACCTGAGTCTCACCCTCACGTTGTGGCCCTGGTTGGCACTGGTAGCCTCCGACTCACCTCTTCTCAGATTCTGCTCTGTGAAGGGAAGTATAATTGTGAGCCTAGAGGAAGATGTCCAGGGTCCTGGCAGCCTCTTCTTCCCGATTCTCTTAATCTGGCATATATGTATCATCTCTCCCCTCTCAGGCCCACCCCAGTTTCCTTTTCCCACCCTATCATGACCCAGTTTAGTCACCCCTCTCTCCCAACACAGCTCACCTGGCTCTTTGGCCCCTCCGGATGTCAGCTGCACACTGCCCTCAGAGACCACACTCCCAGCCCTGGGAAGGTTTCTACCTGGAGCCTGTTTACAGATAGACAGACTCCGTTCTTTCCTTCTGCATGTGGTCCAGCTTCCCCCATCACCCACTCATTCTCAGCTCTGAACCAAGCCTTCTTTCAGCTCTCCTTCCCTTCCCCTTCCTCATCCTTCCCCTACCTCCCCCTCCCCTGCACCATTGATCTCCTCTCCTCTTAGCAACCCCACCATGTTCCCCTTTACCTCCTCCTCTCTCCCCAGAAGCAGCAGTTTCCCATCCAGGAGTGTGAAGCCACTGATGTCCCAGACTGGAACATCAGCAGTGGGGGCCTCGGGGATGCGCTGAGTCACTGGCAGGGGGTCTGAGCAGAGAACATGCAGATGACCACGATGATGATAATGACGATGACAGGGACAACAACAGCTAGCATGCTACTTCATCTTATCTAAATAACCCTGGAAGGGCCCAAAGATCCCCATTTTCCGTCTTTCAAAGTATTCTGAAATTCTGGTCCTTTTAGTGCTATCAGCTCAACCAGGTCACAGAATTCCAGAATTTCAGAATTGGATTGGAACTCAGCAATCATCCAGTGCAAACCATTCCAGGAAAAGACTATCCTCTACCACCTGCTGGGCACTGCCTAGTTCCTAAGTAGACTGTCCCCTGCCCTGGCCTCATCTTTGCCCCTGCCTCTGCTCAGAACATGTGAGCTATTATCATCCAAGGTGGGAGGGGGAAGGGGGTGATGCTAGCAAGGAGAGGTATGGGGAGTGGAAGCCTACATTTAGATAATGAGGTAGGGTTTGCAAAGTGATTTCCTTATAACACAATGAGGCAAGTAGAATTTCCAATTTACGGATGAAGGATCTGAGTCTCAGAGAGGTAACGTGACTTGCCCAAAAGATGCAAGAAGACACAGTCTCTGTCCTCCAAGCGCAGAGGTGTGATAGAAACAAGCTTTGGACAGGGAGTCAGAGGACCCAGGTTCTTGTTCAGTATCTTCTTTTAACTGACCATGTGACTTTTCCCTCCCACCCATCCCCTACTGTAGCCTTCTTACCCTGGAGTATCCCACTGCCTGCTTTTCCTGTTGGGCCTCCATTTAGGGGAGGCTCCCAGACCTGCTGTCCCTTATTCCCTTCATGGCTATGCTCCTGACTTTCCAGACTGACACTATTCTCCCCCCATCCCCCCCACCAGTTTTTCAGCTCCTTTTGGTGTATTGTCTTCCCCCATTAAAATGTAACTCCTCCAGGACCAGGGCCTCTCTCCACTCAACACAGGGCCTGGCATATAGTAAGTGCTTAACGATTGCTTCTTGCGTTACCTCAGTGGGACTCAGGTCTCCCTTGCCTATATAGCACAAGATCCAAACTCCTCAGCCTGTCATTTAAGGTTCTCCACCATATGACCCCCTTAACTAATACTTTTCCAATCTGTCTGCTCAATCTATGTGAATACTTGGCTGTAATCAAACAGATTCTATCTACTCTCTTCCTATGCCTGCTTCTACGCATTCAAGACTCAATTCAATTAACAGAAAGAATCACAGAGCCAGAAGACATTTCAGCAGTCACATGGTCCAACCTCAACCCCCCAAAAGGAGTCCTCACCACTACATACCCAACAAGTGGTCACTCAACCTTTCCTTGAAGACTTTCAGAGAGAATCTCCACCCGTCATTCCTGAGCTTGCCCTCTCAGGCCAAGGAAAATAAGTCTTATTTCTCTTTTGCATAACATGAAAACAGCTGCCTTGCCTCCACTAAGCATCCTCTTCTACAGGATAAACAGTCCTCATGCAGCGTGCAATCCAGTCCATTCACCTTTCTGGCCATGGTCCTCTGGATGATCTCTACCTCATCCAATGCCTTTTCTAGAGCTGAACAGACATGATCAGAGCAAGACAGAGGGCAGTAAGTCATAGCGTTGGAAGCTATACCTCTCTGAATGCAGCTTAAAATTATAACAGGGTTTTTGGCTGCTGCATCACCATGTCGATTCATTTTTAGCTTGCAGTCCACTATTACCTTCAGGTCTTTTTCAGAACAACTGTTGCCTAACTATACTTTCTCCACCTTGTACTTGTGAAGCTGATTTTTTTTTACTATATTTATCCCTATTATATTTCATCTTATTCTCCACTACATATGCTATTATTCAGTGACATGCTCTTTGCTGTTCCTCAAACATGACACTTCATCTCCCACCTATGCGCCTTTGCACTAGCCTGTCCCCTATGCCTGGAATGACCTCCCTCTTTATCTCTGCCTCTTGGCTTCCTTTATGCCTCAACTGAAGTCCCACCTTCTGCAAGAAAACTTTTCTAGCCTCCTTTAATTCTAGTGCCTACTTTCAGAGATTATCTCCACTTAATGCTGTACGTATGTTGTTTCTACATAGTTATTTACATGTTGTCTCTCCCATTAGACTGTGACTTCCTTGAGACAGGGACTGACTTTTTGCCTTTCTTTATATCCCCAGAGCTTAGCATAGTGCCTGACACATAGGACACCCCATAACAAATGATAATTAGCTTTGTTTACTTGATTTGACCCAATAATCTAACCATTGAGCAAATATTTATTAAGGTCTCACTTTGTGCAAAGCACTCACTGGGCTAGATGCTGGTAATATACAGCCCCTTAGCACAATAGGAAGGCTAAGACCATGTACACAGATAACTCTGGCACAAGGTAGAATGGGATAAAGGCAAAGTTCAGACAATGGTGGGGGGGGGGGCTTGTGACCCTTTGGAATGCATGGAGGTGGGAGAGAGAGAAGGATGGAATCAGATAAGGGCCAGTCTGGTGGAACAAGGTGTGTTAAGGGAAGTAACTTAAAATAAGTCTATAGTGGTAGGTTGATGCTAGATTGTGAAGGACCTTAAAATACGGGCTAATAAATTTGTTGTTGTTGTCATTGTTATCCTACAGGTATAACAGGGTATTCAGACAGGTTAGACTAATTCTCTCGCAGAAGAACTAGTTGCTGCTAGGGACCCCAGAATTTATAGTCTTTCTGAACTCAGGAAGACACTGGACTCTCATGGGTTTGAGCTGGAGGGAAGAGTTTCTGCCACAGTGGCAGCTTTGGAAGTTCTCTGTGACAGAGGAAGTGGAGAGAGAAAGATGGGAATCTGTGAAGGAATTAAGAAAGCAGCAGCAGCAGCAGCAAGGATGAGGGACAGTTTAAATGGGGACTGACAGTGAATGTCTAGTGCTCATTGAAAGAATCTTGCGGAGAGCTGATGGAATTCAAAGAATTCAAAGGACTGCTGATGTGACTCTCCCTACTTTCTGTCTTTTCTGTCCATTTCAGACATGTTTAAATCTTAAATTCTCTGCTTCTTTGCTTTTTCATTAGGATTCTGCATGAATCATCGTAGCTCCGTTGGTTTGTTAACTCAGCTTAGTTTTGCTAGTTTGTATATTTTCCCATTTTATCAAATTACTAATGGTATCGTTGCTTTAAGTGTTAGTGCCATTATATTGTCTTATATAGATATGTATGTACTCTTATGATGTATATATGTATTATGCTGCACCTATAATTTAGACCTATAGCCACTGAAGCAACCTGTCAAGACAAGCTTTGCACATCTATTTATGTTATATTTGCATGTTATGTCTATTGCAAGTATTGTTGAGGCACATTTGCTGTGAATGCTATCTTTTTTTTTTTTCTTTTTAGTGAGGCTATCAGGGTTAAGTGACTTGCCCAGGGTCACACAGCTAGTAAGTGTTAAGTGTCTGAGGCTGGATTTGAACTCAGGTCCTCCTGACTCCAAGGCCAAAGCTCTATCTACTGTGCCACCTAGCTCCCCCTGTTAATGCTATCTTAAGGTGATTACTTATCCTTAAGGGTTAGTCATCCTTGTTCTATTAAGTGATGATGTGTATTTGGATACCATGCGGTATAATTTCAGATGTCAAGTGTACTAAAGCTGATTTTGCATGGGCCTTAAAAATTCTAAACCAAGGGAGAGTGTAACAGGCTACTCAGAAGGGTCAGACTAATGGCCCCTGCAAGCAGAAGAAATAGTTTTGGAATCATCAACAGGAACCTTTGGAATTTTTGGTCTTCCCAGGCCAACGAGAAATTGTACTATCATAGGTCTGAGTCAGAGAGTGAGGTTTCTATCAGAGCAGGAGCATTGACATCATTCTGTGATACTTCGATGAAGGGACAGAGCCTGGAGAAACAGAGATCTATAATGGAATTAAGAGAGTGGCAGTAGTAGCAATGATGGGGCACAACTTGCTGTTTTCAATCATATTTCAAAATTTCTAGATAAAGATAAGATTGATACTAATTGCTTTTGAGTCATGCATATCTTTAATTCTACATAGAGAGTCCAAGTGGGGCTTGGGTGCCAGTGGCTAGATTTAATACACAAGATTTAAACAGGTTGGAGATCTATTTCCCTGGCTGAATGTTTAGGAGTTCCCTAATGGAGCTCCCTCAAATCCTACTTTCTATAGGAGGCCTTTCCCAATCCTCATTAATCCTACTGCTTATTATTTCCCATTTCCCCCATGGATAGCTCATTTGTTAATAATTTTTTGCATGTTGTCTCCCTCATTAGACTGTGAGCTCCCTGAAAGCAGGGACTATCTTTTGCTTTTCTTTGTATCCCCAGCACTTAGCACAGTTCCTAGAGCATGTAAAGTGCTTAATAAACATATTTTGACTGACTAAAAGCTATGTGGATGAAAGAGGATCTAATGATAATGATCTTTTATTAATAACCTGTACACTTAAGCTCCCTAAAATAGCACATGAAGAGATCCATGTTGATCTGGGCCATTGCCCCTTGGCTAAAGCCACAGGAGATTTTTGCCCCCTTTTTTCTTTAGCTAAACTAAATTGTCTCAAATGCAAGAGCCCCAGGCAAAACCCTCAGCCTCTAATGTGGCCGAGGAGTGGAGTGAAGAAGGCAGTGACCAATGGGAAGATGACATATACGCTGAACTGGCCCAGTTGGATGAGACAAGTGTGTTCTGGAAGGGATTAACTTCTCCACTTTCCAGTTGATAGGAATGAAAGCCCTGCCCTGCCAACCTTGGCCCTTCACAGAAGCACCTGCTGATCCCATTGGAGAGTCATGGAAAGTTTTTGAGCACTGGAGTGATCCCAAAAGCAGACCTATACTTTAGTGAGAATAATCTGGCAGTGATGCGAAGGGCAGATTGGTTGCAAAAGGGTAAGACTAGATATAAGGAAACAGTTAAAAGATTATTACAGTCATTGAGTTTAAGGTTAATAAGAGCCTGAATGAAAGTGGTAACATCGGCAGTGAAAATTTTGGGGTCTTCAATCACAATTCTAAAGGGCTTATGGTGAAACATGCTTTCTACCTCCAGATAGCAGATGGACTTAGAGAGCAAATTGTATCCTCTTTTCTTTTCCTTTCTTTTTGGCTAATGCAGGAAGTTATTTTGCATAATTATAAAAAAAAACCAGAAAATTTTTGAGGAGGGCTTTGCTAGAGGAGGTGGCTTTAGATTGGGCCTTGAAGAATGGGTAGAACTTGGAGAGGAAAGGAAAGAAGGGGAGAGGAGAGAAGATAAGAGGAGAAGAGAGGAAAGGAGGGGAGAAGAAAAGAGAGGAGAGGAGAAGAGAGGAGAGGAAGAGAAAGGAAGAAGAAAGGAAGGGAAGAGGAGAGGAGAGGAAGGGGAGAGGAAAGGAAGTGGGAGGAGAGGAGAGGAGAAGGAGAGAAAGAGGGAAGGAGAGGAATGGGAAAGAAGAGGAAGAGAAGAAAAGAGGAGAGGAGAAGGAGGAGAGAGGAGAGAAAGAGAAGAGAGGAGAGGAGAGAAGAGTAGAGTAGAGGACTAAATTAAGTTTTTAAAAAACATTTAATTAAGCACCTTTGATATTCAATTTGCACATAGGAAATAAGATAATGGTAATAATATTCTGTAGGCAACAGACAGCCATAAAAGGAAACTGCATAGGAGAGGAACTCGATTAGAGCTGGAATTAGAGCACTGGATTACAAGTCCAATGACAGGCCTGCTACTTACTAACTATGTGACAAGTAAGTCCTTTAAGGTCTGTGGACCTTAGATTTCTCATCTGTAAAATGAGGGCCTCAGACAGATGATCTTTGAGATCTTTTCCAGCTCTAGGTCCTGTGAAGGGGGTCTATGAAAGATGCTTCTGGCAGCTGGTGCAGAAGGGCTTAGAATCTGTGGTTCCATGGTCAGAGAAGGGAGCTCCTAGAGACAGGAAGGCTAGTTAGGAGGCACCTGCAATAAATAGTCCAAGCAAAAGGTGGTAAGGTGTCGGCTAGGATGGTGGCCTGAGAATCGAGAAGAAGCAATAGGTGGGAGAGGCTTGTGAACATGGAATTGGTAGCACTCGGAGTTGTGGAAGTAGGGGAAAGGGAGCAGTTAAGTTGCCTTTACCGTTCTGTCTCAATATTCATTATCATCATGTGGAATAAGGAAGGAGGGCCTCCTCTCCTGAATATCTTCCAAAGCAGATGAATCGGCCTTGGACCCTACAGGCAAAACCCTAATACAGAGTCATAAATGAAGGATGCCCAGCCAGAACCTCATGGGGATGAGCAGGTGGGCAGCCTGGCTCACACAGACCCCTGACCAAATATCATCTGAGGTATTTATACCTGGGAACCAAAAGAGTGGGGTCCTGACACTGAGCCAATCATACTCTTCTATTAGTTTATTCCCCTGCTCCCTGGTTTTTGGACATCAGGAGACTTTCCTGGCAGTAGGTGATGGTTTAGGAGCTTCAACTCCTCCCACTTTCTTGGCCCCCCTTGACCTCTACCCTTAGAGTATGATGACAGACTGAATCAGAGTACTTGGACCCTCTGCCTCCAGCTTGCCTCATTTACTATCTGTTACAATTATCCCCAAAGGGAGACACCCAGGCGTCCTCTCTCTTCTCCTATCATCCCTTGATAGGAGTCCAGATTGGAGGTTTTACTCTCTCATCCTCTGCCTTCCCCTGACACACTGCCGAAGACAGGTAGAGGAGAAGGGGCAAATTCAGTCTCAACCACTTCCTCTCCTAGCTCTCCCCACAACTTCCTGTGTATTAGAAAGGGTGATGAGGTGGCTCTTTCCTCTTATCCTGTTCAGAGAGGAGGGAGCCCAGGCATCCGGCTTCCTAGCCAGCCTCTTTGGTTTGTAAAAACCTAGAATGACCTGTGCTTTGATGTAGGGAGGTTCTTAAGTGGGGCAAGGGCTGTGGCCTGGGGGCAAGGTGCCTGGGGCCAAGGTTCCCTGAAGAGAATTCTCTAAGTCTTGACTATGTCTTGCTTATTGGGGTGTACACAGAAACTTGGAGATTTGTGAGCCCAGAGAGCTCCCCACCCCCATGTTGGGCCCTTAGAGCAAGCCCCTAGTGGATGGGGAAAACTATATCAGGGGATAGAGTTAATCTGGGATCTTTTGAATCCCAAATCCTTGGAGATGGCCTACCAAAGGTAGTCATCTCTGGGGCAGAGCACAGTGGCCTGTGCCTGGGTATCCAGGCACGTTGTGGGTTAAGTCATCCTTACCCAATGCATCTGATTCTAGTGCTGCCTCCTGTTCGGATCCAGGTACGTGTTCAGGTGCCTGCTGCTGATTCCCAGGGCGAAAGTACTTGGGGAGCTTCCAGTTCCAGCCTCCTCCTGACTCCTTGGCAGATGCAGAGACAGCGCGGCGGAAGAGAGACCGTGGAGGGGGCCGGCTGGCTGGTGGCTCTGAGGTCTCAGGGTTACTCAGAGCTCGGCCCCAGCCTTGAAGCCGGCCCCATCTGGAGGCCCCTGTTGACTTGTCTCCTCCTCGCCGCCAGCGGTAGGAGCCTAGTGGGGAAGCAACCTTGGCCTGGGGCCCTGTCGGGGCAGGCATCTCCATCTCCTACGGCGACAAGGAGGTAAAGGAAAGAGGAGTCAGACGTGGGAGATGATGAGCACTCAGCACTCTGAGGGTCAATAACAAGATGAGATAGGGCAACATCAGTTCTGAGAGGTCAATCCTCAGCCACCCTGTATCTCTCCCCGGCCTCATGCCCCAACTCTCATCCTGCTCCCCATCCAAACATCCCTGTTCAACTGTAAGGGCTCGTTTGTGAGGCCCCTGCCAGGAAACCTTTTCGGCCCCACTTATCCTTACCTCTGTTTCCTGCTGTGCCCCTGAGTCAGTCACCCAGGACTGCCGGGCTTCCTTGCAAGTGAGCCCTGACCCCACGTGACACCCCCCTGCTTTGCCCCGCCCCTGCCCATGCTCTAGAGCTCTTTAGAGAACCTAGGGAGAAAACGGGCTATGATTGAGGCTGACACTAAGAAAAATGATAGAAAGCATGATGGGGGATAAATTGAGACAAAGGTGATGGAGAAGGGAAATTCCCAGGGTATAGTGGAAAGACCTTGGAGTCCTTAGGCCTGGGTTCAAGTTCTGGCTCTGCTTTTTACAAAATATTTGATCCTGGACAAACCACTTAATTTCTCTGAGCCTCAGTGTCCTCATCTGGCAACGAATCCAACAAGGAAGTACTTGTTAAGAGCCTATCTTGCACCAGGGGGTCACTGTGTTAGGTATCTCATCTAAAATTTTGTGTATCTGAGATGGATAGAGATAGTGAAGGCAATAGGTAGAGAATAAGAACTGTATATATATATATATATATTATATATATGTGTATAAGACTTTAAGGTTTGTAACAACATCTGCTTGACATACTTTTTCTCACTTCATCCTCACAACAAATTTATGATAGGTTTGAAGAGTATAAGCCCCATCTTCTAAGTGAGGAAATTGAGGCATATGGTAGTTAGGTAGTCTGCTGGTAAATGTCGGAGATGGAATTTGAACTCAAGTCTCTCCTAACTCTATGTCCAATGTGTTTTCCACCACACCATGAGAGAATAGAGGATGGAAATAGACAGAGAAGGCAAATTGACAGAGTTGAGAAGTAAACTAATAGAGAAGGTACTTTGTTTAGAACATGGGAAGTGGATAGAGAGGATATGTGCAACAGAGAAAGGGAAATAGATCAAAATGGTTGTAAATGGAAAGAGAGAATGGAGATAGATATGGAGGGAGGATAGATGGAAAAGATAAGGATGAGCAACAGAGGGGGTAAGGGGAATTGATAGAATGGGGGGAATAATACAAAAGGGTGACGTGAAGGGTTAGAGGAGAGGAGAAAAGAAAAGGTAGAAAGGGGGGAGGATAGATTGTGAGGATGGGAGATGATGGATAGAAATGGTGGAGATAGAGAGGATGGGGATAGATAGACTAGGGCTATGTAGCAGTTTCATGGTGAGAAGATCTTTGTGCTCAGGAAATCATGGTATCTCAGTTTTTCAAATTCAATAGAAAATGAATCCCTTCGGGCCACATATTGACTTTAAAAAGCCATGAATTAACATTATTCATATTGTATAGCATTTTTATTTATTTTGTCAAACAGAGATGATGGAGATAGAGAGAGCGGGATACAGTAGGGAAATAGACAGGTAGAGTGTGGTATTGATAGAAAGAAAGAGAGGATAGAAAAGAGGGCAAAAGGAATAGAGAGGGTGTTGAAAGATAAGGTGAGGTAGCAGATGGCGAGTGTGTAGATAGTTAGGGAGGGAAGGGTATAGAAGATGAGGGGATTGGATAGAGAAGGGTAGATAGAGACGGCAAAGGAAACAGGAGAAGAGTGAAAGTGGACAGATATAGAGGGTGGAGGGTAGAAAAGGTGCAGGATAGATAATGACAATAAGAAATGACAAATAGAGATATCAGAGGCAGAGAGGATGAGGATAGAGTAGGGCAGTGGTGTCAAACCCAAATAGAAAGGGATCCCTGTGAGTCACATATTGACTTAGAAAACCACAAATTAACATTATCTAAGTTGTATTATATTTTATTTATTTTGTTAAACAGAGATTATGGAGATAGGGAGGGTGGGATAGTTTAGGGGAATAGAGAGGGTGTGGAATTGATAGAAAAGAGAAGGATAGAGAGGGGGGGAGCATGGAGAATAGGGAAGGTAGAGAGAGATAGGGTGGGGAAATAGGTACAGTGTTGATAGCTAGAGGGGGTAAGGAATAAAGAATATGAGAAATAGATGAGAAAGGGCAAATAGAAAGGATGGGGGAAGAGAAAGTGAAGGGGAAATAGGGAAAGTGGGAGATGGATAAGAGAGAGATAAGGTGGGAGAATAGATGAAGGTGCTTGTCAAAGGGGTATTTCCTTGAAGTACAGAAAATCAGGAGCAGAGCCAGAAGAAGAATGAAGGTTGCCAAACCTGGGCTCCTCCACAAAATGAAGGTGCCAAGAGGAATTCACCAATGGGAGAAGGGTACTGGACTGATGGAGGGATATTCCAGGGTGAGAAAGCTGCAGGAAAGTTAGGGAGGGGAGGGGAGACTCCAGGGACTTAGGGAAGTTCCAGGGTGAGACAGCAGCTGGGGCATGGTTTTGAAATCCAGAAAGTCAGGGACAGATCTGGAAAGGAAATGAGGGATGACTGGCATGGGTCTCTCCACAAAATGGAGGCCTTAAGAGGAACTTAACAATAGAAGGGGGCTAGCCTGGAGGAGGGATATTTCATGGTCAGAAGACCTGTGTGCACATGGAATCATAGAATCTCAGGGCTGAAGAAACATCAGAAACCATCTAACAAGCCAAATAGGAATCTTCTCTATAACCTCTGTGACAGGTGGGTGAAGACCTCCATTGATCATCCCTTATTCTCAATCAATCACACATCGCCAGTCACTGTGCTCAGTACAGAGGCTACAAAAAGACAAAAGTCTTCAGGCTTGTCCTCAAGGAGCTTACTATTGGCTTACTATCTGTTCTAGTCTCCAAATGTGATTGGCCTGACTCTTTTTTCAGTCAGGACATTTCTTTCCTTTTTTTTTTTTCTTTTTTGGCAAGGCAATCAGGGTTAAGTGACTTGTCCAGGGTCACACAGTTTGTAAAGTCAAGTGTCTGAGGCTGGATTTGAACTCAGGTCCTCCTGACTCTAGGGCCAGTGCTCTATCCACTATGCCACCTAGCTGCCCCTCAGTCAGTACATTTTTTGTGCACAGTTCATCACTGATAATATTTTACATCCTTTTACACCCATTCTTCTTTTCATAATCCCTTTGGTAAATCACAATTTTGACTCCTTAGGGATTATGCTTTTCCACTGTATGTAGCTATACAGCATGTTAGAAGACTGCAATTTTGTTGAACCTGTAATTTCATCATTATAAAGAGTCCCCGTGGAGGATCTTCCTCTACCAATGCATACTGGCATTTTCTCTGTGACACATAGTCTTAGAGATTTGATAATATTCAGAAGAATACAGGTTACTGTGATATGAGCTTTAATAGTTTAAAACTACACTAAGACTTTTCAGAACTCTAGTAGCATTAAAAGAAGGGTTTTTGTTTCAAGGAAAAACGTAGGACTCACTAAAAACAGTGTGTCATTTTCCAAGAGCAATACAACCTTATCTCTTCTTCTTGTTTAATTTTGGCCTACTTTCTGCAATATCTAAGTATAAGATATACAGGCTCAATGGGCTGTCCATCCAGCTGCATGTCACAGTATAGCAGTGGTTAGGGGTTGAAGGAATTTGGCCAAGGAACTAGCTATTTTCTCTCTGGCCCTGCCCTCATGTGGGTGGTTCTGCTCTTTCTTTATCTTTATTGCTTTATCTTTAATCAGTGGCCTCATTCTCCCTGAGGATAGAGGGACATAGTAGGCCCAGAGTTCTTTTAAATCTGCCCTGGAAGACACCATGGGAAGGGAAGTTGCCTGAGAAAGGGTTGCCTCCGGTTCACTTATCAAACCCCCTCCCACCAGAAAACTGCTGGCTTACCTTCGTGTTCAGGATGGTCTGAATTCACGTGTTTTTCTCTCCTTTGGGGAGCTATAATAATAGGGATCAATAAAATCTTTTTTGTCAGTTTGAGCCCCCCGCTGGTAGTCCCAGTGATTACAGTGATTAGAAAGAGAATCTATTTCTCTCTCTCCCTTTGAATCCCTGACAGACCATCGCCTCTCTCCTATCTGTATTTAATTTCCGAAGCACACATCCATCTACCCATCCATGCACAGATGCACATAATAATAGCATCTTACAGAAACTAGTTTCTTCTGAAAACATATAGCAAATCCACAAAGTCAACAAATTCTTGACAAAGACTGGGGACATAAGCTTGGGGTGAGAGCCAGAGCAATATAAAGGATGGAAAAGAAGGAGTGATGTCCATTTTGTTATTAGCAACAGAGCAGCTAGAGCCAATCTGTGTCTGTGCCATGTGACTTCTGCATAGGTCAGCTAGGTCTTTGCTCTGTGTTTCCGTCTCAGCACAGTAGCAAAGGCTACACTAGGTGGGTTCCCAGTATGGCTAGTCTCCTGTTCTCTCTTAGTCAGACTCCAGTCAAACCTGCTTTGGAAATTAGGTTGTGGCTTCATGGTTGAAACTGATTGGGCACAGAAGCTATAGCAGGAACGATTGTAGCCTCTTTCCCCACGATGTCGTTCCTGTGATCTCCTTCTCTGTTGTAGCAGCACTGTTTTTCCAGAGCTCCTGATGGCTACCTCTCTTTGTACTTACTACACATTTTGCTCTTTTTGTGAGATTTTAGTCCCCCCTTC